ATCCTTGTACCAGGTGGTGGCACCGGCGATCCCCGAGCCCTGGCAGGTCAGTGTCACCCGGTCCCACAGCACCACCGGCCTCCAGGGGGGCTCCACCAGGAGCTGGGTGGTCTGGGCACCTGTGGGTGACAGGGGACACCAGCCTGCCAGGGCCAGTGTGGGGCTGGGGACAGTGGGGTGGGGCCATGGATTCCCCTGAGGACTCACCAGCGAGGCCGAGGGTCTGGGCTGGAAGGGAGAAGGGACAGGGCTGGGTGGGGGTCATGTGGACAATGTGGACACCCCATGTTTGCACATGTCACCTCCACCAGCCCTACAGCACCTGTCCCCACAGCCATAAATCCATGGCCCTGTGCCCATCATCCCATTCCAATGGCACCTGTTCTCCTGGCCCATCCCCATGCAACGTGGCCCTTGTCCCTGTCCCTGCATCCCTGTTCCCCTGCAGCCCTGTCCCCACAGCTACCCAAGCCCCAAGGCTCCTTCTGCTACATCCTTGTTCCCAAATCTCTACCCCCCTGTTCCTGTCCCCACATCCCAGTTCCCCTGTTGCTGGCCCTAAATCCACCCCACAACTCTGGTCACACTGGGCTCCATGCCCTGCTCTGGCTTTGCTGGCATTGGGGACCTCAGGGGATCCCGCAGCCCCCCTGTGACCCCTCCCATCCCCAGCCCCGGGGTGTCAGGCCCGTGCCTGGGGCACTCACCCCACAGGAGCAGCGCCACCTTCCCGGCATCCCGGTGTCCCCAGCCATGTGCACTGGCTGTCACTCGCTGCTGTGGCCACCGCTCCCCTGGCTGGCGGCCCTTTGGATGAAGGGGAAGGAAGCGAGGTCACGTCTGCCCCCATGTGTAGGTGGCCCTTGGTGGGGGCAGGGTGGGGACGCTGTGGGACATGGGAGGCAGGGTGGGACATGGTGGGGACATGGTGTTGCCAGAATCTGGGGTCTAAGGCTGTGTAGGGAGCCAGGGATGGGTGTCCAGGGGAATGGGGTGCCCAGGGATGGGGTCCCAGGGAAATGGGCGTCCCAAGGGTTGGGTGGACTCAGACTTGGGAATGTGGGTCCCAGAACAACATGGCCTCCAGGGATTTGTGATCATGGGATGGGGGCCATGGCATGGGGGTGCCAGGGGCAAGGGGGTCCGCGTGAGAATGGGGGCCCTGGGGAAATCAAGGTCTCCAAGGGAAGGGGTGTCCCAGGGACTGGAATTACTGGGATGGGGTTCCTTGGGGTTGGAGATCCTGGGGAATTGCAGTCCAGGGATGGGGGTCTCAGGGAAGGGGGGACAGAAGGAAATTGGGTCCCAAGGTTGGGGTCCCAGGGGAATGGGGGTGCCAGGGATGGGCGGTGGCTGGGGGGGCCTGGGGGTCACAGCTCCTTCCCTGGATGCCTCAGATTTTGGGGTGACCCAGGGCCCTGCAAAATCGCCCCTGGGGTGCTCATTTCCTGGTCAGGCATTGCATGCGGGTCCTGGGTAGCTCAGTCTCTGTGTCCTCCCTGACTTTTTTCTCTCTTTATTTCTCTTTTATCCTTATTCTCCTTACTTTTTGCCATGTACCCTCACCCCCGATTCCTGGCTCAGCAATCCTGGGAAGCACCTGAGCAGTGAAAGGGCTGGGGGGACCCAGGGGAGGGGGAAAATGGGGGGAAGGAGGTGCAGGGAATGGTGGGGAGGCTGTGGGGGATGGAGGTGTTGGGCTGTGCCCCCTCAACACTTTCACTTTCTTTTTCCTGCACAAGAAGGAAGAGGCCGTTTGTGCTGAGAGTCAGATGGGAAAGGGGGGCAGTTCTGGCCTAGACAGCAAATCCAGGGGGGGTCCTCTCATGAGAGGATCCTGTCCCAGGGGGTGACACAGCCTAGCATGGGGGGTCCTGTCCTGGGTATGGCAGTTCCAGAAATGTCCCTGCACATTCCTGGCCGGGTGCCTGTCCCAGGGGTGGCACATCCTGGGGACCCCTGTCAATGCAAGGGTGGGGCCCAGCCATGGCCCAGCCCCACTGCACAGGGATGGCCATTGCCCAGCCCTGCTCTGCCCAGCCCCAGGTGGCAGCCAGCACCTGAGGGTCCCCCCTGCCCCCTAGGCTTTGATTCTGGCAGCTTTAGAGCTGCTGCAGAGGTGAGAATTCTGTGGGTGGAAAAAGGCCCTGCCTGTGGTTTGCTCAGCCCTGCAAGAAGCACAAACCCAAAGGGAGCCCAAGCAGTGGCTCTGGGAGGGCCTTTGATGGTTTTCAGAGCAGGGCTGGCTGGAAACTGCCCCTGCAGGTTCAGCAGTGAGGGAACCAGTCCGGAAATGCAGCAACTCATTATTTTGTCCTTCTCAACAAGGGACTGAGAGAGTCCCAAAACTGCTGCAAATCCCACACCGATTTTCTCAACAACGTGACCTGCACCGTCCTTCTTGAACAAAACCTCCTGCCCTTTGGAACTTCGTGGAAAGAATGTTTGTGTTCTGGATGTGCACACCAGAAGAGAGGGGAAAAGTGTGAAAATATTGAGCAAGGGCTGCACACGAGGGGCTGGGGAACAGGGGTGTCACAGCAGGAGCAGGGAGTGCCCAGGCAGGGGAATTCAGGGCAGGCTGGAGTGGATTTACCAGGGAATCAGACCCTGAGGCACACAGGGGCATTTCCACAGATTCCTGTGCACTGTCCCAAGCATGGAAAGAGCTTCTCCCCTTCCTCCAAGGGAAGTCAATCAAGTTTAAGAGTGGGAACGAGAAAAATGGGGAGAGTTCCTAAATATGGCCCAAAAAAGGCTTCCTCAGGGGCTGGGTTGCTGCCCAGCAGGCAGGGAACCATCCCATGGAGCTGTTGGACACTCAGGGAGATTCCACCCTCTGTGTTATCCACAAGCAAACCCTGCTGTGGGATGGAGCAGGGGGCTGCTAAAGGGAACCAAAAAGTCTCATTTCACTGTGATTTTTTTGTGGTTTTATTGTGGTTTTTATATCCCCGTATTTGTGTTTTTATTGTGTTTTGATATCCTCTTGTTGGGAAAGCAATGATTAAAAGGATTCTATAAAGCAGAGCATTTTATACCTTGTCACTTTGATTTTTCAGGAGTTTGTTTTTTGTTGAGAAAATAATGATATAGGAAAAGATTTTTGCCTTTTTTCTATGGATGTATAATTTTGTGACAGTCAATTGGGCATCAAGTGTACCTGAGATTGCTAAGACAGGAAATTTGGGTGACAGGAAAAAGCCCAGGGATTTGTGGGGCAGAGACCCAGAGCCTCCCAGGACAAGCCTGGGGTGCCCCAGGGTGGGCTCTGTGCTGGGCTCTGAGTCATCTCAAAATCTGAGACCAAAATATGACCCCAAAATTGTCCAAAGCAATTGGGCATCAGGGAATTCAACCAGCTTGATCCTGGGATTTACCATCATCAGGGCAAGGTCATAAAAGATGCCTCCTTAAGTTTGGGCACCCCAGAGGTCACAGGGCCCCACTGGGGACAGCGGGAATGCTCAAGGCCCACCCAGGACAGAGGACCCCAGGATGTGCCACCTCTGGGAAAGGAATCCCCAAGGATGTGGCACCCCCAGAACGAGGAGGAGCTCCCAGGGACAAGAGGCTGGGACAAGACCCGGGTGTCAGCACAGCAGAGCTGCCCTTTTCCCTAAAGGCTGGACCCCTCTGGATGTGCCCCCTGGACAGAATTCATGTCCTTGCCTCAGCACAAACCACTGCAGGAAAGAGAAAGAGTTGGGGGGCCACAAACAGGGAGCCGCATCCCCCACAGCCCTGAAACCAATGCCTGCACCCCCCAACCCCTTTTTTCCCTTCCTGGGATTCTCCCAGCTGTTCCCTGGGATGGTTCAGCCAGGAAATGCGGGGAGACAGGAAAACGGCCAAGGGTGTGTGGGGCAGAGACACAGAACCTCCCAGGAGAGCCATGGGGTGCCCCAGGGTGGGGACTGCGCTGGGCTCTGAGTCACCCCAAAATCTGAGGCACCCCAGGAAGGAGCTGTGACCCCCGTGCCCACCCAGCCACTGCCCATCTCTGGCACCCCCATTCCCCTGGGAACCCAACCATGGGACCCCCATTGCCTTGGTCTCTCCTCCCTGGGGACCCCCATCCCAGGACTGACATTGCCCAGCACCACCATTGCCCTGATCCCATCCCATGGGCTGCTTCTTCCCCAGAGCCCCTATTCCCGAGGGTCCCCTTTTTCCCCCTGCACCCCCAGCCCTGGCACCCACTTGCCATGACCCCAAATCCCTGGGGACCATGTTCCCACAGCACCCCCATGCCTGAATCCCCCCAGGCATGGAAACCCCAATTCCAGTGGACTCCCATTCTCCTGGACACTCATCCTTGGTTCCCCACATCCCCTGAGCCCCCCACTCCTGACAACAGCATCCCCCACCATGTCCCCAGGCTGTCCCCAGCCTGCCCACAGCCCGTCCCCAGCTTGTGGCCACCCTGCCCCCACCAAAGGCCACCTACGCATGGGGACGGACGTGACCTCGCTTCCTTCCCCTTCATCCGAGGAGCCGCCAGCCAGGGGAGCGGTGGCCACAGCAGCGAGTGACAGCCAGTGCACATGGCTGGGGACACCGGGATGGCCGGGAAGGTGGCGCTGCTCCTGTGGGGTGAGTGCCCCGGGCACGGGCCTGACACCCCGGGGATGGGGAGGGGAGGGGGCACAGGGGGGCTGTGGGGTCCCTGTCCTTTAGACCTCTGTGTCACACCAATGCAACCACTCAGACATTTTTCAGGGACAGCCCCCTGCCCCTGTGCCTCTCTCCCCATGGAACCACCCCCACCCAGCCCTGTCCCTTCTCCCTTCCAGCCCAGACCCTCAGCCTCGCTGGTGAGTCCTCGGGGGATGCCATGGCCCCACCCTGCTGTCCCCAGCCCCACGCTGGCCCTGGCAGGCTGGTGTTCCCTGTCACCCACAGGTGCCCAGACCACCCAGCTCCTGGTGGAGCCCCCCTGGAGGCCGGCGGTGCTGTGGGACTGGGTGACACTGACCTGCCAGGGCTCGGGGACCGCCGGTGCCACCACCTGGTACAAGGACGGGCAGCGCTGGGGGCAGGAGGGACCTGAACACCTCACTGTCACCATGAGTGGCACCTACACATGTGACAGACCTGGCACTGGGCTCAGCCCCCCTGTGATTGTCTCAGAAGGTGAGGGGGGTTTGGCCGTCCACTGCCTGGCACCCATGGGGACCCCAAGGGCTCTGGGTGGCCTCCGCTCCATGGGTCACCTCCTGTGTGACCAGAGCCCATCCCCTGCTCTGGGGACATCCCAGAGCATCCCCGAGCGAGAGGACCCTGTTTGTGGAATTGATGACCTCTGGTGCACTGGGTGTGACTCAGTGAGGGTCCCGATGTCAGCGGGACCCTTGAGATCCCTGTGATGTGATGAATCCCCTCTGTCCCCCAGACTGGCTGGTGCTGCAGGTGCCGGCGCGGGTGCTGCTGGAGGGGGACACGGTTACACTGCGCTGCCGGGGCTATTGGAAGAGCACGGTCACCTCGGTGTCCTTCTACCAGGAGGGGAAGGAACTGGGGGTGTTCCCCGATGTCACTGAGCTGTCCCTGTCCCCTCTGCAGCTGAGCCACAGTGGCCACTACAGCTGCAGAGGCAAGGTGGGATCCTCGGGGTGGAGGGAGTCACCACCAGTGACAGTGACAGTGCACGGTGAGCACCACAAAGTCCCCACCCTGACACCCCCACAGCCCCTCCCCAGGGATTTGGGGCCAAAATTCCCTCTCCCCTCTCCTACCCTGAGCTCTTCTCAGTGCCAGTGCTGGAGGGTCCCCCCGGCCCACCCCGGGGTCCCCCCTGACTCTCAGCTGCCTCAGCACCCCCAGCCCCCTGCGGCCCCAAGCCCCCTTCCTGAACGTGTTCTACCAGGATGGGAAGATGGTGGGAGACCCGCAGGGGTCCCCACAGCTTCTGGTGCCCGCCCTGGGGGTCTCCCACTCAGGGAATTACAGCTGTCAGCTGCACCCTGAGGCGGGGGGCCGTGGGGAAAAGCAGCACCTGGCTCCCTGTCATGGTGCACAGGGAGTGCAGGATTGGCACAGGGAGCCCCCACAGACACCTCGGGTCCCCTGATTGGGCATCTCCAAGTCCCCAACAAAAATTTCCTTGGTCCTTCTATTACTCCCCTTGTGCCCACACCTTTCTGTGTTATGACCCCACCGCTGACATCCCCCATCACACCTATCCCCCATCCCTGTCCCCCCACACTGGCTGCCAGCCCCTCCCTGTGCCCTCAGCCCTGTCTCTCCCTGCAGTGCTTGTGGCCAATGCCACCATCACCCCCTGTGCCCTGGACGTGACACCGCAGGACACAGGGACACACAGGGACACAGGTGGGGTCCCAGAGGGTAACCAGGGAGTGCAGGACCCCTGGGGTGATGGGTGACCCTGATGTGTCCCCCTCTGTTTCTTGCAGTGGCCGCAGGGGTCGGTGGGGCCCTTTTCTTCCTGCTCCTGCTCGTGGGTGTCATTGTGGCCTGGAACTGGTGGCACCGTGTGGGTGGGTGACAATGGGGGGACGGGGGTCCCAGGGGCCTGTAGAGGCCCCATAATTGGGGAACGATAGTGTGGCATTCACAATCCCAGAGTTGTGACATTGGCTGGGGGTGCTGTAGAGCTTGGGGAGGTGCTGGAGGGTTGTTCAGGGAGGTTGAGGGTTCTTTCAGGGGCCCTAGGGTGTCTGGGGGGCCTCTGTACCTCCTGGGCTTTTGGTACTTAAGGCTGAGTTGATTCGGGGCACTGAGGATGTTCATGAATTCTGGGGGGCTCCAGGGATGCATGAGGGTCCTGTTGAAGATTGAGGGTCCCATGGGAGTTCAGGAATCCTGAGAGCAGTCCGGCCCCTGGGGACCCCTCAATCACCCCTCCCCTCTTTCCTCTGCAGCTGCCAGGAAGAACCAGGAAAGGTGAGTGGGAGGCTCAAACTACGCGCTCCCTATTTTCCCCAACCCTAAAGACCTCCCATTTCCTCCCCCACATCCCCTTAATTCCCTCAGGGCCCTCCCGGATCCCCCGGCCCCCCCAGATGAGGGGGAGGTGCTGTACACCCACGTCGTGGTCACCAAGAGGGCAGGGGGTGAGTACGGGGGGGACAAACGCAGAGGGACACGTCACCCACCAGTGTCACCCCACCCAGATCCCACAGCCCGTGTCTCTCGCAGCATCCCCCCGTGCCACCACCCTCCAGGATCCCCAGGTGACCTACGCGGAGCTGCGGGGACCCCAGGGGCGACCGCAGGAACCTGGTGACATCTACGGGAATGTGCTGTGACACTGGGGGGAACTGGGGGCACTGGGGGTCCCCACCCATGGGCACCCAGTCGTGTCTGTGCTGCCACTAAAAACTGCCCCAATCCCTCCCCGTGGGGGCACAAAAATCCCAAAGGGCTGAGAGAAGAACAATTTCCTGAAACAGTAATGAGAGAGAATAAAACCAACAGCAACAGCAACCAGGTTCAGTGTCCAAATTGTCACACAAGGAACGATTTCCAGGGAAAGCCCCCAAAAGGGAACAAACCCTAGACATTTCCTCCCAGCACGTTTCCTCCACCAGAGGAACTGGCAGGGCTCTGGAGCTTCCTTGCTCTGATGGCCAAAGTGGCCTTCAGGAGGCTCTGGATTCTCTTCTCCCCTGTCCCAAACACCTCCTCTGCCCTGTTCCCTACACGAGGATGTCACCAAGGACCTGTGGGGGTTCTGGAGCCGCCTCCTTTCCCAGGGCAGTCGGGACCAGGCCATGGCACAGGGCGGGGTGTCAGAGACAGGAAATTTTGATGTCTGGAGACATTTTGGAACACCTGTGTGTGGCAGGGGTGGGTCAGGCCTTGCTTATGGTGAGACAGGGCCCCGCCTGTCCATCAGTCTGTCACCCGTGGCATATTGGGGACAGTTTGATGCTCTGGCAAAGCCAGCTCCTGAGTGGCCGGGTGACCAGAAGTGCCAGCTGGCGACATGGCCCTTGGTTGCCCAACTGCCATAAAAGTAAGAGCATAAGGTGACCAAGTCCTTGATCCTAGCTCCTTTTGGGGTGTCTGTCCCCAACCGAGGACTTGGCAACTCGTTTAAATGAGAAATATCTGCCAAGGAAAGTGGGAACATTACTGGAATTGAAAGAAACATGTGTGTAATATTTTCATTTTCAAAAATGATGGGGCTTCCAGGCAAAAGTGTTGGAAAAGGAATAATAGCTCTGTAGTAGGAAATTTATAAAGCAGAACAGAACCAACAACACAAACCCAGAACTTTCCCTCCCACTCAGCGCTGTTGGTTTTTGTGGCAGTTATAACCGCAGCCAGCAGGGGGTGCTGCAGGGAGCACTCCCGGCCAGCAGGGGGCGCCCCGCTCCAGCGCCATCCCCTCAGGGGCCATGGCGGCCTCGGCCGCGAGGGAGGAGGGGAAATCGCTCCTTTTGCAAACTCACGGCCACCAATCGGTCCCGGCACCACCAGCGGCAGCGGGCAGAAGCCGCCAAGGCAGCAGGTTGGATCCCAGTGCCCACTGGCAGCGTAGCAGTGTCCCGGGGCCAGGCACACGCCCGGCACAACACCCGCGACCGCTCTCCATGATCCCGAATGGAAGGAAGGCAGCGCCTGACCCCAGGGATGTCTCGGGCCTACAGCAGCATCTCAGGTGGCTTTACACCACAATTCCTGCAAACCCTCATCCTTTCACTCAGGTGAGGAGGGCAGGGATGGAGCAGCTTTGGGGACACCTGGAAACCTGACAGGGTCACTCCCCACAGCCCCACCATGACTGTGGGTTAGAGCCCCTGCTCAGTATTCCCACACATTTCCCTGTTGTCTTGGAGCCGAATCAGAACCCAATTATTCTTCCCGGGCCATTCCAAACGGCTGCAGGTTTGAGACAGGAAGGATGTTGGTCCAGGTCAGGTTTTTGAGCAGATTGTTATCTTTGCAGGGTTTCTGGGGCTCTCTCAGATCCTTGCTGCAAGGGACCTAATGATCAGTTGGTGCATTTCCAGACTGCTTGCCTCTTAGCTGCCCCTGCACGCGGCAGTTTCCAGCCAGCCCTGTTCTGAAAACTATCAAAGGCCCTCCCAGAGCCACTGCTTCGGCTCCCATTGGGTTCTGTGCTTCTTGCAGGGCTGAGCAAACCACAGGCAGGGCCTTTTTCCACCCACAGAATTCTCACCTCTGCAGCAGCTCTAAAGCTGCCAGAATCAAAGCCAAGGGGGCAGGGGGGACCCTCAGGTGCTGGCTGCCACCTGGGGCTGGGCAGAGCAGGGCTGGGCAATGGCCATCCCTGTGCAGTGGGGCTGGGCCATGGCTGAGCCCCAGCCTTGCATTTACAGGGGTCCCCAGGATGTGCCACCCCTGGGACAGGCACCCGGCCAGGAATGTGCAGGGACATTTCTGGAACTGCCACACCCTGGGACAGTAGCCCCCATGCGAGGATGTGTCACCCCCGGGACAGGATCCCCCCAGGACAGGAGCCTCTGGATGTGCCCCCCCAGGACAAAACCCCCCCTTTCCCATCTGACTCTCAGCACAAACGGCCTCTTCCTTCTTGTCCAGGAAAAAGAAAGTGAAAGTGTTGAGGGGGCACCGCCCAACACCTCCATCCCCCACAGCCTCCCCACCATTCCCTGCACCTCCTTCCCCCCATTTTCCCCCTCCTCTGGGTCCCCCAAACCCGTTCACTGCTCAGGTGCTCCCCGGGATTGCTGAGCCAGGAACAGGGGGAGAGGGGACCGGGCACAAAAGTGAGGAAAATAAGGAAAAAAAAAGCAATAAAAACACAAAAAAGTCAAGGACAGTGGAGGGCACAGAGGCAGAGCTACCCAGGACCCCCATGTGATGCCTGCACAGGAAACAAGCATCCCAGTGGGGCTTTGCTTGCTCTGGGTCACCCCAAAATCTGAGGCACCCAGGGAAGGAGCTGAGACTCCTGAGCCCATCCAGCAACTGCTCATCCCTGGCACCCCCATTCCTCCTGGAATCTAAACATGAGATCCCCATTCCTTATGCCCTTTCATCCCTGGGACCCCCATCCCAGTACTGACATTCCCCAGGATCTCCATGGCCCAGCACCCCATTCCCAAGGAACACTCTCCTGCTCATTCAGTCCTCTGAAATCCCCCTTCCCCCATGACCTTGATTCTCTCAGGAACGCCATTCCCATGGACAACCCCCATTCCCCCAGCATCCCCATCTCATGACCCCAAATCCTGGAGGCCACGCTCACCTGGGACTCCCATCCCTGAGTCCCCTCAGCCCTGGACACCCCCAGACCCATGACTCCCCCTCCTCAGGAACTGCATTCCCCTGGACATCCATCCCTGGCTCCCTAAACCCACCGAGCCCCCCACTCCTGCAAACCACATCTCCCACCTTGTCCCACCCACCCTCATCCCCGTCCTGTGCCCTGCTTGTGGCCACCCTGCCCCCACCAAGGGCCACCTATGCATGAGGACAGACGTGACCTCGCTTCCTTGCCCTTCATCCCAAGAGCCGCCAGCCAGGGGAGCGGTGGCCACAGCAGCGAGTGACAGCCAGGGCACATGGCTGGGGACACCGGGATGGCCGGGAAGGTGGCACTGCTCCTGTGGGGTGAGTGCCCCGGGCACGGGCCTGACACCCCAGGGATGGGGAGGGGAGGGGGCACAGGGCTGCTGGGGGGTCCCCTGATCTCCCCAATGCCAGCAGTGCCAGTCCATGTTACCCACAGTGGATCTTGGCAGGACTGGGGATGGAATAGGGGGGGCAGGAATTTGGGGATGGGGATGTGGGGACAGGAATGTGGGGACTGGCACCTTTGGGCTCAGGTAGCTCTGGGGATAAGGACAAGGGAACTGGGATGCAGGGACAGAAAGCAACAAGCACCATGAGGATGTGGCCATGGAGATGGGATCATGGGGATGGGATCATGAGCTGGTGGGGGTTACCTGGGCCAGCATGGGCTGTGTCCGTGGTGTCCTCGTGCCCCGGGTGTCCACATTGTCCCCATGTTCTGCCTCAGCCCAGGGTGGCCTCGGTGTCCCTGTTCCCAAGGTGTCTGTGCCACAGGGATTTGGTGCACGGGTGGCTGTGACACAGACATGTCCCCCTGCCTCTCCAAATCTTTTTGAGACCACCCACACACACTTTCCCACAAGAAATGCTGTCCCCACAGGGACAGTTTTTGGGGACAGCCACCACACCCTGTACCCTGGTGCCTCCTTCCCGGCAGTGCCACCCCCACCCAGCCCTGTCCCTTCTCCCTTCCAGCCCAGACCATCGGCCTCGCTGGTGAGTCCTCGGGGGATGCCATGGCCCCACCCCGCTGTCCCCTGCCCGACGCTGGCCCTGGCAGGCTGGTGTCCCCTGTCACCCACAGGTGCCCAGACCACCCAGCTCCTGGTGGAGCCCCCCTGGAGGCCGGCGGTGCAGGGGGACCGGGTGACACTGACCTGCCAGGGCTCAGGGACCACTGGTGCCACCACCTGGTACAAGGATGGGCAGCGCTGGGGGCACCAGGGACGTGACCGCCTCAGTGTCACCAGGAGTGGCACCTACACATGTGGCAGACCCAGCAACAGGCGCAGCCCCCCCATGACAGTCTTAGATGGTGAGGGGGGATCTTTAATGATCATGGTGGCCCCTGAGAGGTCAGGGTGGGCTCCACTCCATGGGAGGCCTCACACCCCTCATGTGGCGAGAGCCTGTGCCCTGCACACAGGGACATCCCAGTGCAGCCCAGTGCACTCCAGAGCACCCAGATGTCCCTGGTGCTATGGGCACCCACCTCAGAATGGTCTCATCAGTAAAATGTGACCTTCCTGTCCCACAGACCCAGTGGTGCTGCAGGTGCCAGCACGGGCACTGCTGGAGGGGGACACAGTGACACTGTGCTGCCGGTGCCGGCAGGAAAACCATCTCAGCAGGGTGCGATTTTACCGGGATGAGAAGGATCTTAGGGGGTCCCTCAGGGGAACCGAGCTGTCCCTGTCCCCCCTGGAGCTGCACCACAGCGGCCACTACAGCTGTGGAGGATTGGTGGGGTCCTGGCAGTCCCGGTCAGCAGCAGTGACAGTGACAGTGCACGGTGAGCACCCCCATGGCTGGAACTCCAATATCTTGACAACCCCAAAGCCACTTCCCAGTGGATTCAGAGCCACAGTCCTCACCTCCCCTCTCCTTCCCAGAGCTCTTCTCGGTGCCGGTGCTGGAGGGTCCCCCCACACCCACCGAGGGGTCCCCCCTGACTCTCAGCTGCCTCAGCACCCCCAGCCCCCTGCGGCCCCGAGCCCCCCTCCTGCACGTGTTCTACCGGGACGGGCAGGTGGTGGGGGGCCCACAGGCATCCCCGCAGCTGCTGGTGCCCACCGTGGGGGTCTCCCACTCGGGGAATTATGGCTGTGAGGTGCACTCCCAGGGTGGGGCCGTGCGGAAGAGCAGTGCCCGGCTCCGCGTCACGGTGCGCAGTGAGTGCGGGGATGGGCATGGGGAGCCCCTACAGCCTCCTTGGGTCCCCCACACTGCCTGGCATCGCCCAGCCCTCCCTGATGCCTGCTCTGGGCTACCCAACCTTTCCCAGATCCCTCCCTGTCTCCCACCCTTTTTTCTTGTGTCCCTCCCCGGGACCCCCAGCCCCTACATGGGTACCCCCAGCCTTCCCTGGCACCGTTTCCGTGTCCTGCCATTGCTGCCGCGGATCCCTCCCCAGGTCCCCCCATTCCTGACTCGTGTTTCCCTCCATCCCACATTGGGTCCCCTCACCCCTCCCTGGGTCCCATCACCCCTCTCTGAGTTCTCCACACATTCCCCAGGTCACACCATCTCCTCCCTGCGTCCCCGTACCTGCCCTGGTGTTGCCCACATCCCTCTCCAGGTGTTCACTCCCTGATCTCCCAATCATCCCTCAGGGTTCCTTTCGAAGCACTGCCCCCCCCCTCCATCTTTGCGCCTGCTCTCCATCACTGGAGTTCCCCTGCTCCTCCCTGAACCCCCAGGTCCCTCACTGTCCCCTGGTGTCCCCCTCTCCTGCAGGGGTCCCACCCTCGGGGGTGTCCCTGTCAGTGCAGCCCCCCGGGGCACAGGTGGCACTCGGGGACAGCCTGGTGCTGAACTGCTCAGTGACCATGGGAACAGGTGCCCTGTCCTTCTCCTGTCACCGGGAGGGCTTGGAGGCACTGCTGGGCACCGGCCCCCGCCTGGAGCTTCGCCACGCTGGGGACAATGAGAGCGGCCAGTACCGGTGCCAGGTCAGCGACGGGGACAGCATGGCTGAGAGTGACCCCATGAATGTCACCGTCCTGGGTGAGCGGGACCCTCGGGCTGGGGATGACCCCCCCCAGAGCACTCCCATCCCACCTTGCCAGGTGCTAGCCCTGTCTGTGTCCCCACAGTGCCCGTGGGTAATGCCACCATCACCCCCAGTCCCCTGTCACACCAGGTGCGCACAGGTGACAACGTGACCCTGCACTGCTCAGTGCAGGTGGGCTCAGCCCCTGTCACCTTCACCTGGCTGCGTGACGGCCAGGAGGTGGCCCAGGGTCCCCTCCTGCAGCTCAATGATGTTGAAGTGGGACATTCGGGCACCTACCAGTGTGTGGCCACCAACCAGCTGGGACAGGATGGGCACCGCGTGTTCCAGGCACTCAGCCCAGAGCTGGCCCTGGAGGTGACACCTGGCTCACTCTGGGTCACAGGTGGGGTCACACAGGTGGGGTCACCAGGGAGTACAGGACCCCTGGGGTGATGAGTGACCCTGATGTGCCCCTCTCTGTTTCTTGCAGTGGCTGCAGGGTTTGGTGGGGCCCTTTCCTTCCTGGTCCTCCTCATGGCTGTCGTTGTGACCTGGCACTGGTGGCACCGTGTGGGTGGGTGACAATGGGAGACGGGGGTCCCAGGGAGCTGTAGAGGCCCACAGAATTGCGGAACCATAGGAAACGACCCACATACCCACAATTGTGACTTTGGCAGAGGGTCCTGTAGGGTTTGGGGAGGTGCTGGAGGGTCCTGCAGGGATGCTAGGGGCTCTTTCAGGGGCCCTGGGGGTGTTCGGGGGTCTCTGTCCCTGCTGGGCTTTGGGTTCTTGAGGGTGATTTGTTTGGGGCCACTGGGGAGTTCATGAATTCTGGGGGGCTGCAGGGATTCTTGGGAGTCCTGAGGGGAATTGAGGGTCCCGTGGAGGTAAAGGATTCCTAAGAGGGTTCAGGGCCCTGGGGACTCCTCAATCACCCTGTTCCTCTTTCGTCTGCAGCTGCCAGGAAGCACCAGGAAAGGTGAGTAGGGGGCTCAAACCACACTCTCCCCTTTTTACCTAAACCCCCAAGGCCTCCCATTCTTCTCCCCACATCCCCTTTTTTCCCTCAGGGCCCCCCTGGATCCCTCGGCTACCCAGAGGAGGGGGAGGTGCTGTACACCCACATCATGGTCACCAAGAGGGCAGGGGGTGAGTACCGGGGGGACACACGCAGAGGGACACGTCACCCACCAGTGTCACCCCACCCAGATCCCACAGCCCGTGTCTCTCGCAGCGTCCCCCCGTGCCACCACCCTCCAGCATCCCCAGGTGACCTACGCGGAGCTGTGGGGACCCCAGGGGTGACCGCAGGAACCCGGTGACATCTACGGGAATGTGCTGTGACACTGGGGGGAACTGGGGGCACTGGGGGTCCCCACCCATGGGCACCCACTTGTGTTTGTGCTGCCACTAAAAACTGCCCCAGTCCCTCCCCGTGGGGGCACAAAGATCCCAAAGGGCTGAAAGAAGAAGAATTTCCTGAAACAGCAATGAGAGAGAATAAAACCAACAGCAACAAGGTGCAGAGTCTAAATGGTCAAAAAATGAACAATTTCCTTGGAAAGCCCTCAAAAAGGAACGAACCCCAGATGTTTCCCCCAGCATGTTTCCTCTGCCAGAGGAACCTGGCAGGGCCTCGACCTTCTTTGCTCTGATGGCCAAAGTGGCCTTCAGGAGGCTCTGGATTCTCTTCTCCCCTGTCCCAAACCCCTCCTCTTCCCTTTTCCCCACACAAGGATGTCACAAATGCCATAGGGGGGTTCTGGAGCCTCCTCCTTTTCCAGGGCAGTCGGGATCAGGCCATGGCACAGGGCGGGGTGTCAGAGACAGAAAAATTTTGATGTCGGGAGACATTTTGGAACACCTGTGTGTAGCAGGGGTGTGGCAGGGGTGGGTCAGGCCTGGCATTTGATGAGACAGGGCCCCATCTGTTTATCAGTTTGTCAGCCACAGCACACTGGGGACAGTGTGACAGTCTGCCAAAGCCAGCTCCTAAGTGGCCGGGTGACAAGAAGTGCCAGCTGGGGAGAGGGCCCTCGGTGGCCCAACTGGCTTAAAGGGCAGAGCATAAGGTAGCCAAGTCCCTGACCATGTCTCCTCTTGGGGTGACTGTCCCATCCACACTGGAACCCAAGAGTTGGCAACTCATTTAAATGAGAAATACCTACTCAGGAAATTGGGAATGTTTCTGGAATGGAAAGAAGACCCATCTCTAAAACTTTTTTAGTTTCAGAAATGATGAGGCTTCCAGGCAAAAGTGTAGGAAAAGGAATAAGTCCTCTTTACCGAGAAATTTATAAACCAGAACAGAACAAACAACTCAAATCCAGAACTTGCCCTCCCGCTCAGCGCTGTTGGTTTTTGTGGCAGTTATAACCGCGGCCAGCAGGGGGCACTGCAGGGAGCACTCCCGGCCAGCAGGGCGCGCCCCGCTCCAGCTCCATCCCCTCAGGGGCCATGGCGGCCTCGGGCGGGAGGGAGGAGGGGAAATCGCTCCTTTTGCAAACTCACGGCCACCAATCGGTCCCGGCACCACCAGCGGCAGCGGGCAGAAGCCGCCAAGGCAGCAGGTTGGATCCCAGTGCCCAGCGGCAGCGTAGCAGTGTCCCGGGGCCAGGCACACGCCCTGCACAACACCTGCGACCGCTCTCCATGATCCCAAATGGAAGGAAGGCAACACCTTACCCCAGGCAGGTGTCGTGTCCACAGCAGCACCTCTGGTGGCTTTACACCACAATTCCTGCAAACCCTCAGCCTTTCACTCAGGTGAGGAGGGCAGGGATGGAGCAGCTTTGGAGACACCTGGAATCCAGACAGGGTCACTCCTCACTTCCCCAGCATGGCTGCGGGCAGAGCCCCTGCTCAGTATTCCCACAGCTTTCCCTCTTATCTGGTGGACACATTCCAAACCCAAACCCATTCTTTCCAGGAGGTTCCAGAAGGCTGCAGGTTTTGTTCAAGAAGGATGGTCCGGGTCAAATTGTTGAGCAGAATGTTGTGGCTTGTGCAGTAGTTTTGTGGTTCTCTCTGTCCCTTACAAAGAGGAACAAATGAACAATTGTTGCATTTCCAGACTGGTTCCCCCACAGCTGCCCCTGCAGGGGCACTTTCCAGCCAGCCCTGCTCTGAAAACCATCAAAGGCCTTTGCAGAGCCACTGCTTGGGCTCCCTTTGGGCTTTGTGCTTCTTGCAGGCCTGAGCAAACCACAACCAGGCCTTTTTCCCCCACAGAATTCTCACCTCTGCAGCAGCTCCAAAGACCCAGAGCCCCTTGGAATCTGTCCGTGGTGATGCCCAGGCTGCTGGCACCTTGTTGGGGCTATTAGGTCGTGGGCCACCCCAAAATGTGAGGCATCAAGGGAAGGAGCTGCGACCACGCGTCCATCCACCCCCTGCCCTTCCCTGGCAATCTCATTTCCCTGGAAATAAAACCATGGGAGTCCCATTCTTTAGGTCCCACTGTACCTTGGACCCCTATCCCAGTACTGACATTACCCAGGATCTCCATGGCCCAAGACCCCATTCCCAAGGAACCCTCTCCTGTTCATTTTATCCTCTGAAATCCTCCTTCCCCCACGACCTTGATTCTCCCAGGACCCCCATTCCCACGGGAGCCCCCATTCCCCCAGCATCCTCATCCCATGACCCTGGAGCCCACATTCCCCTGGGACTCCCATCCCTGAGTCCCCCAAGCCCTGGGCACCCCCATTCCCATGGCACCCCCATCCCTGGTGATTCCACCTCTGCAGCAACCTCATTCCCACAGACCCCATGCCTGGGACCCCCCATTCTCCTGGACACCCATCCCTGGTCCCCAAACCCTCTGAGCCCCCCACTACTGGGAACCCCATATTGCACCTTGCCTCACCCAGCTTTGTCCCCATCCTGTCCCCACCCTGCCCACAGCCTGTGCTCAGCTTGTGGCCACCCTGCCCCCACCAAGGGCTACCTACACATGAGGGAGAGGCCTGACCTGGCTTCCTTCCCCATTGGCCAAAGAGCCACCACCCAGGGGTCATCCACCCCCGGCAGCGAGTGACAGCCAGTGCACATGGCAGGGGACACCGGGATGGCCGGGAAGGTGGCGCTGCTCCTGTGGGGTGAGTGCCCTGGGCACATGCCTGACACCCTGGGGATGGGGAGGGGAGGGGGCACAGGGGGCTGTGGGGTCCCCTGAGGTCCCCAATGCCAGCAGTGCCAGTCCATGTTACCCACAGTGGACCTTGGTGGGACTGGGGATGTAGGGTGGCTTTGGGGACAGGAATAGAGGGGCAGGAATTTGGGGATGGGGATGTGGGCACAGGAATGTGGGGACTGGCACCTTTGGGCTCAGGTAGCTGTGGGGATAAGGACAAGGGACCTGGGATGCAGGGGCAGAAGGGAACAAGAACGGTGAGAATATGGCCATGGGGATGGGATCACGAGCTGGTGGGGGTGACCTGGGACAGCATGGTCTGTGTCTGTGGTGTCCTTGTGCCCGGAGAGTCCACAGTGTCCCCATGTTCTGCCTCAGCGCAGGGTGGCCTCGGTGTCCCTGTTCCCAAGGTGTCTGTTCCACAGGGATGTAGTGCACAGATGGCTGTGACACAGACATGTCCCCCTGCAGCGAAAAATCTTTTGGGGACCACACACACACACTTTCCCACAAGAACTGCTGTCCCCATGAGGACAATTTGGGGACAGCCCTCACGCCCTGTACCTTGTGTGCCTCTGTCCCTGCAGTGCCACCCCCACCCAGCCCTGTCCCTTCTCCCTTCCAGCCCAGACCTTCGGCCTCGCTGGTGAGTCCTCGGGGGATGCCATGGCCCCACCCCACTGTCCCCAGCCCCACACTGGCCCTGGCAGGCTGGTGTCCCCTGTCACCCACAGGTGCCCAGACCACCCAGCTCCTAATGGAGCCTCCCTGGAGGCCGGGTGTGCTGTGGGACCGGGTGACACTGACCTGCCAGGGCTCAGGGACCACTGGTGCCACCACCTGGTACAAGGACAGTAAGCCCTGGGGGCAGAAGGGACCTGACCATTTCACTGTCATCGTGAGTGGCACCAACATATGTGACAGACCCGACACTGGGCTCAGCCCCCCCGTGAGAATCTCAGATGGTGAAGGGGGTTTGGCTGTCCCCAGGCTGGCACCCGTGGGGACCCCAAGGGCTCTGGGTGGGCTCTCCTCCATGGGTCACCTCCTGTGTGATCACAGCCTGTCCCCTTCGCTGGGGATATCCCAGAGCATCCTAGGCTGGGAGGATCCCCATGCTGGATATGGGGACCCCTGGTGCACTGGGTGTGACTCTATGGGGGGGTTACAGTGCCATCAGGTGTGACAGGACTCCTCTGTCCCCCAGTGTGGCTGGTGCTGCAGGTGTCAGTACAGGCACTGCTGGAGGCGGACATGGTGACACTGCGCTGCCAGGGCTGGCGGAACCTCATTGTCAAATCCACGTCCTTCTACCACAAGGGGAAGAGACTGGAGGGGCTCCGCAATGGGACTGAGCTGTCCCTGTCTCCTCTGCAGCTGCACCACAGCGGTCGCTACAGCTGCAGGGGCTGGGTGAGGTCCTGATTGTTGGAGGAGTCAGCACCTGTGACAGTGACAGTGCATGGTGAGCATGCCAGAGCATCCCAGTGTGGGGGGAGCCCCGTGTTGGAAGTGGGGATCTCTGGTGTGCGGGGGATGATCCAATGGGGGATGGTCATGCAAACAGGACCACCGGTGTGACAGGACCCCCGTGTCGTGCAGCCCAGTTAGAGTGGCAGGTGTCAGCGTGGGAGCTGCTGGAGGGGGACACGGTGACACTGCGCTGCCGGCGTTGGCAGAACAACCCAGTCACTGAGGTGTGATTCCACCATGGAGAGAAGGAGGTGGGGAGGTCCCTCAATGGGGCCGAGCTGTCCCTGTCCTGCCTGCAGCTGCACCACAGTGGGACTACAGCTGCAGGGGCTGGGTGGAGTCCAAAGTGTCACCATGGGCGCTCTCAGCACCAGTGACAGTGACAGTGCAGGGTGAGCACCCCCAGGGCTGGAACTCCAATCTCCTGACACCCCCAAAAGCACAGCCCAGTGCACTCAGAGTCACAGTCCTCACCTCCCCTCTCCTTCCCAGAGCTCTTCCCTGTGCCGGTGCTGGAGGGTCCCCCCGAGCCCACCCTGGGGTCCCCCCTGACTCTCAGCTGCCTCAGCACTCCCAGCCCCCTGCGGCCCCGAGCCCCCCTCCTGCACGTGTTCTACCGGGACGGGCAGGTGGGGGGGGGGCCCGCAGGGGTCCCCACAGCTGCTGGTGCCCGCCCTGGGGGTCTCCCACTCGGGGAATTACAGCTGCCAGGTGCGCTCTGAGGGGGGGCCATGCA